CCGGCGAGTGTCACGACCCTAACTCTGCTCACGCTGTGTCCCCCCTTCCAGGGGCTGTCCCTTGGGCTGAGGGGGCAGTGCTCCATGCTGGCACAAGGTCCCCCTCTGCATGGTCCCCCCCAAAAAACAGTGATGCATCTGGAGGGGAGAAGGACTCTGCCCCAAGCCCCACAGGGGCTGATGGGGGAGCAAGGGGGGACATGCTCCAAAGGGGACCACGGCAGATATGAGCACCCCAACAGCACAAGGCCTTTGTACCTGTCATGCCCCTGCACTGACCCAAACCACCCAGCAGAAGCCACCAAGGGCCACCCACGGTCCCCAGGGCTCAGCATCAGCCCTTGCCCTGGAGGGCAGCCCCAGCCTCCCCCTCCCCTGCAGGACAGGGGCACCAAAGCAGAGCCCATGGCAGCCCAGGAACTGGGGTCCCTGCTCCTCTCCTCCTCACAGCCACCAACCCCGCACGGCCCGGAGCAGGATCCCCCTTGACACGAAAGCAATAGAAGGCACGGCCAATCTTAACGCTTAACAAAAGGTTAAAAATTTAAATACTCTCCAACTTTAGTGCAAGGCAAGCACATGATACCACAGGTCCAAGTAGGTGCTCAGCCCCCCCGGGGGGCCTGGCTCAGAACGAGCACGAGGCAGCAGCACGCACACATGCACGCACGCGTGTGCGTACATATACACAGAAGAGACGAGTTATTGCTCGGGACACAGCTGGGATGAGTGTGCTCAAGAGGGGACAGGATAAGCAGAACGGAGAGGGGGGCTGAGCCCCACGATGCTCCCGAGGGACACGCAGGGCTCCAGCCCCTCTGCTCCTGCCCTGTCCTCGGGCACGGGAGCTGTGCTGGCTCCCCAGGATCCCTGGGGACACACACTAAGCCCGGCCCCACTCACTCTTGGGTCACAGGTCACAGCATGACCCCAGGAAGGGACATTCCCTTTACCACAGCTTTGCTCCCTGAGAGCAGGGTCCCTTATGTGTCCGCTTCTCCGACACCGAGCTGGGTCCGGGGACCACGGCACCTCCATCACGCACCGATGACTGGTCGGGAGCTGGTGGAACTGTGCTGGGGCCATCCTGCGCCACACCGGGGATCACACTGACCCTTTGGACCCTGCAGCAGGTACCTTCTGAGCAGGTGCCCTGGGAGCGGCTGTGTCCCACCATGCCGCAGACATCCTGCCGGCGGTCTGGAGAGGGGGCCAGGATCAGCTCCCCGGAGCTGGCAGCATGTGCGAGACGAGGCAGGAGGAAGCAGGTTCCGGCAGACAGGGAAGCGCGGATGAGGCAGTGACGCTCTGCTGCCAGGATGCAATGGTAGACTCTTTGGCACAGCGGTTTCCTGTGCCTCGGGGCTGAGCAATGGACTCCGCTGGAGCCAGGGATGCCTCAGCACGGCCAGAAAGATCCAGGAAAGATGCTTTAGACACCTTAAGGCACAGAAGGCCTCTGCCCAGGACTCCCTGGTACAAAGCTGGGACTGTCGCTCCCCCCATAGGAGGACATTTGTGCCTGTGACAGGGTGGGGGCAGTGCAGGCCCCCACCTATAGATTAAAAACCGACAGGTGATATGTACAGACTGACATATATAAATATACACCAAACCTGCAGTGCCGCTTCGGCACCATGGAATGTGTCAGCAGAGCTGCTCCAGCCTGGCCTCAGCCCACGCTGGCACAATCCCTCCCTCCCACCCTGGCCCGGGAGGGAAGCGGCAATCGGCAGGCGGCAGCAGCTCAATCCCAAGCGGCAGATTCAGAAGCGTTCAGGTCTGTCTTGGGGACGAGGGCTTGTCCTTTGGCCAGAGGCACCATGTCCTGAGCTGCTGGCTGCCGCTGGCCCTGGAGCCATCCTCACAGTCTTCAAATACAGACATGTAAAGCTGTAAACAAATCCACTTTGTGGGGCTGCTGCTACCTTGTCCTTCAGGCTGGGCTGTTGTTCTGCTGGGCACCCAGAGAGGCAAGGGGGTCCCAGGGGCTGGAGAATGAGCTGTGCTCTACAGCCGGGTGGGCTCTTCCTCGCTGTCGCTGCAGTTTCCACAACAGTCCTGAAGTCAGAAGGGCAAGGAGAGGGAGGAGGGAGAGAGAGGAGCACAGCAAGCAGAGGGTGAGCACGGTCACACAACCCAGCCTTACAGCTGCCCTCTGGCAGGGAAGGGTCATGTCGCCTCCCCAACCTGTGCAAGGGGTTGTAGAGGACCCCCAGAATGCAGAGAAACAGTCAAGCTGCATCTGAGGGGTTCAGCTCCTGGCAGACAGGCTGGTGAGCACACAGCTGACTAGCTCAGAAGCTGGGAAGAAGATGGGCTCAGTGGACCACAGCCACCCAGGGAGACAGCTCCGTGCCAGCACAGACGATCTGCCCCGCTCAGGGCTCAGCCGGCCACAGAAGCAGCTGAAGCCCTTTTAGCTGCAACGGGAAGGAGCCTGAGCACGGGGCAATGCCAAACCCTTCACAGTTTCTCAACCCTTCTGCGTGTCCTGGACATGTGAAGAGAGGAGTGAAGGGAACTTCCCACAGCCCCCTGGGAGCAGAGCTCCCAGCAGCGGCAGTGCAGGGGCAGCTTTGGCTCAAGCTGAGGGCAAGGCCCCCCTCACGAAGGCAGCGAGAGCAGGGAAGCAGGATTAGTGGCTCAAGGGGCAGTTAGAACAACAAGCAGCTTGTGCTCTGCTGGGGGAGGGGAGATAGGCACTGAAGGACAACACTCCTCTTTCCCAGATCTTGCCATGTCCGCGGGCCACCGGGTATTTCCCTGAGCAGAGCAGCCAGGAGAGACTGCTCACCTCTGGAAAGAAAAAACACGTGGCAAGTCACAGCTCAACCCCTGCTACAGGCAGCTGCCCATCCTCCAGCAGGTCCTGGATGCCTCGGGAAGGGCTGGATATCCCAGCCCAGAGCTGTCTCTGGCTCGGGCAGCCCACTGAACAGTGACACACTACTCGCCGCTCATCGGAGAAGCAGGAGTCAGCACCGGCTGGCTGAGACTGGGTCCAGAGCCAACCATGCTTGAGTCCCACAGCTGCAAGCAGCTGTTGAGAGGCAGCAGCCCAGACTTTGCCAGTCCTGGAAAGAAGGCAAAGACTGTTCTGGGCAGAGGAGACAGGCAGACAAGCAAGCCCACAGCAGCTGCAAGACATTTCCGTTCTCCTCATCCCTCGAAAGCACTGCGCGCTCCGCCTGCTCAAGGCCTGGCAGAAACGCTCTGGGGAGCCCAGGAGCCCATTCCAAGAGCAAGGTCTTCTTTGGGGATAGTATTATTGATGTAGGAAGGGAGCAGACTTACTATTTCAATGCCTTCAACAACAGCCCTCTCCCTGTGTGACTGCAGCAAGTTTAGCCAGGACACTCCACCCCAGCCCCCTCGACTCCCCCAGCCCAGGGAACGCCAGCCAGGCGAGGGCTGGCTCCCTGCAGCCTTGTGTGGGTCCCTCTGAGAGCCCTGGGGTCTGGCCACCCAGCACAGGGGGAGACTTTGTCTGCTTCCCCCTCCTGCTCACCTCCCTGCCAGATTTGCCTGGCACAGGCAGGAGTGGGCTCAGTGCTGCTAGAAGACTTGCCGGGGAGGAAACGCTGGGCGAACACTTACCTGTCTGCTGAATAAGCGCTGGAGTAACCCTTTTTTTGGCTGTGGAGAAGGCTGCCCTTTCCAGTCTAGGTCTGGGGGCACCGTGCCGTCTGTGCTAAAGACATTCAGTTCCTTAAAACACTCCGTCTCGATCATCTGGAAGAGGACAAAGATGGCTGCAGCAACTGCCACACAAAGGCTGTCACCGAGGCCCCAGAAGAGCGCAACAGCAGCAGGGATAGCACGAACTCTGCGGGACACTGCACGCGGCCACGGTGGGCACAAGCAGGAGCAAAAACTTGTCCTGCAAACCTACCTCATTCTGCCAAGGAATGGGCACGCTTCCTGTAGCAAACTTCTGGTAGAAGTCATTGTCCGTGGGCTCCAGCTCCACCCCTTTCACTGTGGAGAACTGCTCGATGTCCAGAACATCCTTGCAGTAGATGGCCTGCGGCTAAACAGCACAAAGACTGCTCTAATGCCAGCCTCCACTAAGATGCCACCATCTCAAGCAACCACGGCTCACGGCCAATCCCACTCTCCCCACAGCCCAGAGCTTGCTTGACCCTTTTGCTGCCAGGCTTCGGAAACAACAGGGAAGGGGATGGGCACCATCTCCTCAGATGAGCCACCCCAGGGCTCCTGCTTCCCTTGACAGCACCAGTGACTGAAGAGGTCAGGACATGGACAGGCACTTACATCTGGCTTGAAGGGGGGGTCCAGCATGCCTGCTTCCAGCCTCCTGAAGTTGAGATGCTTGAAGAGAGGGTGCTCCTTCACTTCCTTGGCCCCGGCTCCTCGGCACCCCAGGCGCTCCAGAGGGTCTTTGCAGAGGAGCTGCAAAAGAAACGAAATTAGTGCCCCAGGTAGAGGGTGCTTCAGGCAGCAGCAGCCCTGAGGCCGGCTGGACTCCTGCAGTATGTGTCTAGGGACAGCACGGGCCTGCTGGGCAGCTGGGAGCGCGAGGAATTAAGGCACTCTGGACCTTCCTGCATGGTCTTATCAGAGACAGAGCAAGGGAACCCAGGTGCCTGCAAAGGGAAGTGGGAGTGAAGGGACAGGGATGCACAATCGTACCATGGTGCAGAGAGAGCGGGCGCAGGGTGAGAACTTCTCCGAGTACTCCTCCTGCACTTCTTTCACCAACCGCTCCACCTCCTCCCGCTTGATCTTCTTCTTGCGCTGCTGGAAGGGGGACTGTCCCTCGATCATCTCATACACCAGGCAGCCCAGAGCCCACCAGTCCGGGCTGAACGTGTAGCGCTCATTCTTCACCACCTCTGGAGCTACATAGGAGCAGGGGTGAGGGATGGGTGAAGGCAGGGAGAATACATGTGCAGTCAGAGACCACTTTTTGATTAAACCAGGGCCACTTACCCATGTAGCCAACTGTCCCCACCCGGCCCTTGATTGTTTGGCCCTCTGGCACGTGCACAGCTAGCCCCAGGTCTGAGATACGGATGTGACCTGCACAGAGGAGGGAGCAAGTTAACAGGACAGGGTCAAGAAACAACGTCTGAAGCTGCCAAGAACACAGAGTAACCCTGGTTCAAGCACAGGAAGAGAGGAAGACCCAGGCCCAGGGCTCCTCTTGACTGGCACTCACCATGGTCATCCAGCAATATGTTCTCTGGCTTCAGGTCCCTAGGAAGGAAGACACTTGATTAGCAAGAAGCCCGTTGTCAAAGCAAAGGGCACAAGGAACAGCAACATCTCAAGAAGTCACAAATAAGCAGCAGAGGGATGCAATGCCCCTGCCTCAGGCACACAGATAACCTTCCCCTCACCCCCTGCCCCGGAGTTAGCCCTGCAAGCTCCCCCCTCCCGGGCAGAGAAGCAGGTCATGACAGTCTTCAACTCTCTGCAAGGAATCAGTGAGCCTGTGGCTGACTCCTTCTTTGCAGGTGCAGCGCTCATTATGGGGCAGGCAGTGCAAGAGAGAAGGAGCAGAGGCTGCTTCTGCTTACCTTGCCCCCAGGCAAGGCACAGGGTAGGACTAGGAGGGACGTTCTGGCCCTGTGTTTAGCCATGCTATCCTTAACCTGCATCACACAACCCGGTGAGCACAGTCATTTGATCAGCTTGTTCTCCCTCCTGCCCAGCTCTCAGTCTTGAGCAGATCGGGGCAGCCTACCCTCCTTTGTTCTAGTGTCAATACTGCCCAGGGAGTTAAGCACCCAAGCGCCTGCCCCGAGGCACTCACAGCACTATCACATCCTGTTCTTGGCGATCATTTACCAACATGAGGAAGCCAAGCTAGACTCTCCCGTCTCTCCCATGAGATCAGCTTTCTGTTCCTGATCCCCTCTCACCCAGGTCTGTGCTGCTTTCAAGCCTGAGCTTATTTTCTTGAGAAGACAGACCCAGCTGGGCTAGTAAGAGCAGCAGGAACCCTCTTGCTTCTACAGCCTGTACAAGGTCTCCCAGCAGGGGCCAGGCAGCGCGCACCTGTACACTATCCTCTCCTGGTGCAAGTCCTCGAGGCCGCAGCAGATCTCGGCAGCATAGAAAGCTGCCCGGGGCTCCTCGAAGCCAGCCTCTCCCATGTGGTAGATATGGAACTTGAGGTCCCCTCCATTCATGAGGGTCAGCACTAGGCAGAGAGCATCTTTAGTTTCATATGCATAGGCTAAGCTCACCTGCAATTCAGGGCAGAAAGGCTGTTAGAAGACACAGCTGGAAGAGGGAGGTGCCCACACTCTGATGGGCACTTTTGTCACCCAAGAAGCCACTCACGGGCAGCAGGACTGGGCCTTTGCCGGCAGAGGGGAAACCGTGCACACCCAGGGAGGACATGGAAGTGTCCAGCAGCCCCTTGCGCACCCCTAGCTTTCCTCAGACAGGGAGGACACTATTTTCCTGAGCCAGAACTGCTCCCCTCCAGGGGCAAGCAGCACCCAACAGCAACCCCGGGGCAGAGTCTGATGAATCCTCCATAAAGGGAGGTTTCAGGCTGTCCACACTTCAGGGCAGCCAGGGAGAGAGCTCCCCACTGCACAGCTTGGGGCTAGGCTTCTGACCGCTTGGCTGTATGGAGAGACAGTTCTCGCTGTTTTCTTCTGCCCCAGAGGTTAACAAGGCGCCTGTGAGACCGATGGGTGTTTGGGCCTGACTTTGGGGACATTTAGGTCATCTTGTAGAGGCAGCAGGAGAGATCCTCCCAGTCTTGTGAGAGATCTGCAGCCGAGAGGACCCTACTCTGTGGGCATGGCCTGCTCCTACCTCTCCACACGGGGTGAGGAGCACAGAGGTGGCAGGCCGGCTGGTTGGAGGAAGAATCAACCACCACAGCAAAGTGAGAGCAATTCCTATGTACTTACTACAAACCTACTGTTCACTTTTTCCAGGATCTGTTTCTCATTCAGGGCCATGGCTTCTCCCTTCCGCTTTTTGATCCGTTTCTTCTCCAGCTTCTTGCAGGCGTACATCTTGCCTGTGGCACGCACTTGGCAGGCACAAACCTGGAGGGGGAACAAAGCTCAGCACCCTCCTGCTGCCGTTGCCAGGGAGAGGTCTAGGTCTAGGTTCTGCTTTCAGGAAGAGGCACAGGAAGGCAAAGATCTCCCTGTCCCCACCTCGCTCTGAGGTTAGCAAGAAGCCCACTGCCAAAGCAAGGACACAGGGAACAGTGACATCTCTAGATGTCACAGATGAGAAGCAGAAGGCTGTGATGCCCCTGCCACCTGTAGCAGCACCATGGCTGGTGCCTGGGAAGACAGAAGGCTGCTCCAGAAACAGAAGGAACCCTGACAGTGACAGTTTCCAGGAGCGCAGTTTCCCCTGTCAAGACACCAGGAACAGACCTGACCCTCTGCCCAGGCAGCAGTATCCGCCACAGAGCACATGCTACCTACCCCGTGCAACACCTCCCAAACCTCCAGTGCCCGGCAAGAGGGGAGCTCCGGCCCTTTAGAGGGGAGCTGACAAATCATGCAAAGCCCAGAGCATAGCAGTGCCCAGCACAGAGCCTCCCCAGCCAGCAGCACCTGCCTCCAGGTGCTGGAGCTGCTTGTGGCACCCTCATGGCCAACCCAGGTCCACATCTGGCAGCAGGCAATGGTGGCTGCCTGGTACCCCGAATGCAGAGGAAATGCTGGTCACTCACCTCCCCAAAACCGCCTTTGCCCAGCACACGGTACTGGCGGAAAGTGTTTTTGGTCACTGGCTGCCTGTGAGGGAAAGGAAACTGGAGTGAGATGAGAGCAGAGAGAGAGCAGGGGCTGAAGGCCAAACCACCCCCACGCCCTGCCCTGAGAGACTGTGGCTCACCCCAAAACCTCTGCTCATGCAGACCTTGCTTCCCTGCGAGGCAAGCAAGGCTGGGGCAGCCAGTAGAGGCTGATGGTGCCAATAAAGGGCCCTGAAGGACAGCAAGAGCAGACAAAGGACAGGCCCTTGGCTCCTGCTAGGGCCCAGCACGGGAAGAAGCCCCCAGGCAGCCTGTGCAAGCAGGGTGCAGGTTTCCCAGAAGTGCCGGGGAGCGTTACCGTTCCAGCCATTTCCACTGCAGGAAGCGGTTGAAGTACAAGCTGTCGAGGTAGTCGGCAAAGGGAGCGACACTCAGGTAGTCGTGGATAAGCCTAGGAGAGAGCAGAGCCAGCAAGGTTCCTGAGAGCTGATCACAGCCACAGAAAAAGCCAGCGGTCCAAGGAAAGAGGAGGTGAGCAGCCCCGAGAGCCCAGTCACTCTGCCATCCCCTCACCCAGCCTACTACTGAATCACCCACGTAGCCCCAGCCCAGAAAGCCCCACTCAACGCTAAGCCTGATGCAAAAGGAAGGTGTGTTGGAGGTACCACTGTGAGAAACACAGCACCCTGGCACGGGGCTGGCACTGCTAATTGTGGCCTCTCAGCACCAGCCCGGGCTGTGGGACAAAGGGGGACGATGGGACTCTTTGTAATTGCCCCTCTGCTCACAGGGCAAATGCACGCTCAAGGCTGTAATCAGCTGCCGAAAGCTGCTAGCAATGTTCAGCACCAGGCGCTGAGTTGTTCAGTTTCAGATGAATATCCAGCACAAAAGGCCACAGGGGATCCTGCTCGAGAGAGTTAACTGCCTCGGAGACCGGTGCCAGGGCTGCCCAGCGGAGTAAAGAGCCTTAGACACAGTGTCTAGACTGGAGACGTGCATCAAGGAGAAGCGGACGGGCTCTTCCCCTTTCAGAGCTTGCCAAGAGCAGGCAGGGCCCAGCCCGGAGGCTCTGCATTCAGACAGCGACACTAGTTACCACACACGGAGCTAACGCTCCCCAGAAGACTGCAGCAAACCCATTGCCACAGCCCTGCACTCGATTAGGCAACGTGCTCCAGCTACTGTTCAGGGAGGGGTGGAGGCCGTAAGCCCGGTTTGCCTAACAGCTTCCGCTTTGCACCGGGAGCCAGGACCTCAGCCACTGCTTCAGCGATGGGAACAGAAGTGACCTTAGATCCCTGCAGCAAGAGCCAATGTAACCTAACCACAGCGGCCACATCTGCAGCCAGAGGGAGAGGACAGCTGGCACCGGGACTGCAGCTGTCAGCTCTGCTCTACGGGTGCCTATGAGATCCAGGCACAAGACGAGGAACAGCACGGCCAGATGCTAAGGCTTGCTGAAACGGGGTCTTCCCAAATGGCAACTCAGACCCATGGCAGACTGAGAGGAGTGGCAGAGGTTTCGGCGGCAGCTCATGGCTCCCAGAGCCCACGGGAGCTCTTTGCATTTGCTTTCCTGTAGCTGTGCTGCAAATTGCTAGCCCAAACCCCCTGGGCCCCAGCTTTAACACCAGCCCTTGCTCTCCTGGAGGAAGGGACCATGAGGGAGAAGGTGAGGTAGCTGCCCCTACCGTGCCTACCCTGTGCCATGGTGCCACCTGAGGACAGGCCCCAGGCCTCCAACTTACTTAGTGGATTCCTTGAAGAGCTCCTTGGAAGGTTCCTGTTCCAGCCTCTCACAACAGGCATCCACTAGCTGCGAGGGGACTTCAGGCACATGGTCCTCACTCTGGGGACAAAGGGATGGAGTCAGACATAGGGAGCAGAGCACAAGGATCCTCCCAGGAAGGAGAAACCCACAGGAACAGCACACAGGTGCCCATTTGCTTTTTAGGGCCAGTGGCAAAAGCAGTAATGTTCGCTTGTGAGGTGGTAGGGTGGCTCTGTACTCTGCCTTCACCGTCCTGCCCAGCACGTTCGCTGCAGCAGGACATGGGTAATGACAGCTGTCAGCCTTCCAACTGCTCTACTGTTGCAGGCAGCAAACACAACTCTCTTACTCACGTTTGGCTTCAAGTACTTTTCAATCAGGTGCTGCCCGCATTCCTTCCGCTTCTCATCTGGAGCCACTTCATACCCTGCCTGCACAGAGCAAACAGCGTGAGGAGCAGGTCCAGCCAGGAGCTGAGCCTTGCTACCAGGCAACAGCTGCAGAGCAGCAACACCCTCTGCCCAAGGTTTCCCATGCTTTCCTGGAAAACCAGATCTCCAGCTCCCTAAGCAAAAGCCCAACCCTCTCTTGGAGAAACTGCAACTCACAGGTTTTTCCTTCAGGAAAACCCTACTTGCCCAGAAGCACCTGGCAACTGCTGGAGCACCCAGGGCCAACCGGTCCATGCCCAGGGCATCAAGAACTTCCCTGCCTCCCCCAGTGAAGCCCGACGGGGCTATGCTCTTACCACGGCATCCAGGAACTTGACGCAGCGTGACAGCTCAGGTCGTGTCTCACAGAACTGCCGAAAGAGCATGTGCCCGATGGGCTGCTTCTCGCACAGGCTGTGGTAGTCCCGCTCTGCAAATGTGGAGAAGATCACTCACTCCCAATCCCCAAAGGAGCAGCCACAGCCCACCGCCCCGGCCACAGGCAGCGGTAGAGGGGCTTGCGACTCATCAGCTGGCTGCTCACAGGTCTCACCAGCCTGAGACTCTCATGAGTGTGAAATGCACCCCACGGGGACAAGAAGCATGACCAAGCTTTTACGTCCCCCTATGGAAGATCTTCTTCCCTGAAAGAGGTTTGGCCTGCTGTTCTGTACAGCCTGCCCCTCTTGTTTCTAGCAAGGGACCTTCACGTCTCCTGCTTGCCTGGAGGCTCTCTTCTCAATCCTCTCCTCATGGATATTGACTAACTACTCCAGATGCTCAACTTTCCTTGGAACATGAGGAACACACCGAGCTTATTTTGAGACAGAACTTCCAGGCCAAGAGTTGCTCTGATGACTCTTACAAACCACTCATATTCCCAAAGGCCCTGCTGGAAGCAGCAGCATCAAAATGGGAGGCACCATTTCCACAGATGTCCTGTTAATGCTGCACACAGCAATCAGACCCCCTCACTCCATGGGACAGCCACTCGCTTGTACGTCAACTCCTACTACCCTCCAGAGCTCAGCTTCCTTGCTGATTCCTCCTACCCCTCTCTGAAGTCTGGCAGTCCAGGCACAAACCCCTTTGACTATCCAGAGCACTTCCAGTTCTTTGCTTTTTTCCCCTCCCCTTCCACTCACAAGACGTGATCTGATCACGGGCCAGAACAGATTTCTGTCACAGCCATTGCTGCCGAGAGCTGCGGGCTGCCTGGGGTGCAGATGTGCAGCCATCCACCGGCACGCAGGGGATCTTTCAGTGCTCCCCAGGGCTAGGTACTGCTGACCTTCCCTTCCCTGCACAGCAGTTTCTCCCGAGGAAGCTGCGGCTTCCTGAGGGTGCACAAGAGCGCAGAGACGGCTGGGCTGCGGTGGGGGAGGATGCAGCCTCGCCAGCTCCGCCGCACCGGCCGGTTTCTTTTTGTGTGCAGGGGAAGGAGTTCCCTTCAGCTGGGGAGGATGAGAGTTTGCTGCCAGCAAGATCAGAAGCTTTTGGCTGCCCTTGCTGCTGCCCAGGCTCACACAAGGTTGCTCCCTGTGGTCAGGGCACACAAAGCTTAATTCTGCAGTGGGCAACCAGCCCACCGTGCCCATGGTCCTGCCAAGCCTCTGGAATAGGAAAGAAATGCCTTTCTAGCAGGCTCTGAGGGGAAAACAAAACCACTCCAGCCAAAGAGTGACCCAAGCACAAGGAATGGGGTCATCTTTCCCACGGGGAAACCAAGCAAGGCGGCCACCACCTGGGCCAGAAGCACTTCTCATATGCCTCCCTGAGGGGAAATGGGGACATGGGCAGTGACAGCCAGCTGCTGGGAGGAACGTGCCTCCCAAAGCATCACAAAGTCACTATCCTGGACAGTGGGACAGCAGAGATGGGCAGACCACCCGCATTCACCACCAGCAAACAGGCAGTACAACAAAGGTGAAGTTCAGTGGAAAACATGTCATGACACCCACAGGAAGGGCAGCTGCAGGCAGAGGATGAACATCAGATGAGGGAAAGGTTTGCTGAGAGCACATAAGTCAAAGAAGCAGACAGGGGTTGGGATGGCCAAGATGGGAGCTGCAAGGACAGTCCATGCCAGAGCTGTGTTTGGTGCTCAGAACTTGCTCCAGAGGGGCAGTTTGCAGCAAAACCAAAGGTAGAGTCCCCATCTGACTACACTTGGCTGCGAAGCCATCCCCGGGAGGTGGTGCATGGCGTGCACAGCAACAGAACCAGGCTGCTGTGAGCTTGGAGGTTACAGTGTGGATGATGGAGGTTGAGTTATTCCAAGTGCTACAGTCCTATGTGCCCTCAAAGGGAGCCACTCCTCTGCTGCCAGGACCTGGAAAACTTGGGCAGGATGGAAGTGGGGACTGGAGCTGCAGAAGGCTCCCAAACCCACTCAGGCCAGTGACACTTGCTCTGAAACAAGGCCAGCTCTGTGCCACTCTCCAGCTGGCAGCTGAATCCGGAGCAACAACTTAAACAAGCTCTTCCCTTCCCAGGAAGCAGAGCATTCCCACCCCCTGTGCCCCAAAACAATTTCACATGATCTCAGGACCAAGCCTGCTGCACAAACAACATTAAAACCATGAAGAGTACAAAGTGCAGTGTTAAAATGACAGGCCAAGCCCTGCCCAACTGTACAATTCTCATCCATACTGCACAGCAAGAACCCAGTTTTGCCCAAGAAAAGCTGATGCATTAGTGTTAGAAGCTGACGTCTGCACAGCAGGCCTGAAACCCAGACAGGGAGTCTAGAGGACATTAGCAGCACCTTTGTTATTTACGCAAAGGCACCCTAGAGAGATGGTCTAAAACTCTGCAACATCAAGCAGGTCTGTTCGCACAGAGAAGGTGGCATATCTCTAGTGAAGCTGATCATAGTCTAGAAGGTGCGTGGGTCCATCGACAAGCATTACCCGGCAAGCGTCACGCAGCTGTGACTTACCTACCCATCGTTTCTCCCCTGCACTCCAAGCTCTGAGAAATCCTGGTTGGGCCTTGGCCGACAAATGCCCCGTTATAAGTCCCTGACTCTCGCAAGACTCAATTTCGGGTACACAACACCCACATTTGCTCACCCACCAGCCCCACTCTGAAGCGGAGCCCAGGCACTGCTCAGCTCCCGCTAGCTGCCGCTTCTCACCAAGGGTTTGTCGAAGATCCTCGCAGAGGCTGATGTGGGGGAACTGCAGCATCTGGCGCCATTTCTTACTCTTGCCTTTCCGGTTTCCGCCACCACCTGCAGGGCACACAAAATTGGTACCATGAGTTACGAAGCAAGGGTGTCCATCTGCAGCCTAGCCTTGCCAGGAGCCGAGAGAGGAGATAGATACCCTCTGTCCGTTTACATGAGCAAGCCCAGGCAAGAAAAACAAGACCAAAGTGGTACCGCCGTCTCCTGGCTGGTGGAACAAAACTGTTAGAGCCTCCGACTGCCAGAAGAAGCGGACGGACCAACCACTCTGGCTGCTGAACAAAGTCCCAGCAAAGAACATGAAGACCTTTCACCTGGACATCCCAGCTCATATTTAAGATGAGAGAATCAGGGCAGGGGCAGGAGTGCCTAAAGCCACAGGTTATTCTATGCCTGCACAAGAGTTCTTGGCTCCCAGGCCTGTCCTCAGGACCTCTGCATAACAAACCACCTCTCCAGGCCAAGCCTCGCTTTATGTGAAGCTCTTCCTGCCATAGTAACGATGTTCATGCCACCTACTCATTCCAGAATGATTGCTTACTCCAGGGAGGGGCTCTCAGAGGGAGGACATGAAGCTGGGAGACAGGAATTCCTGCTCTAATCCCAGCTCCACAGACAACTCACCGCATCGCCTGGGGCTCATCACTCCAGTTTCCCACCTGTGAAGTGGGGACACTCCCACCTTTCTCCAGAGATAAGCCAGCCTCAGAAAAGCAAGATCCAAGAACCAGATATTATTCCAACTTCTGTTGCTGCAGCAAATGCCCAGTGCTGTAGGACAGGGTGGGAAAGCTTCTAGATAGACCAAAAAATTTACATCATAGCAAGCACTAAGTACTGAAATACATGTACGCCTGATTTCTGGGATCAGCCAATCTCCAGGGATTGTCTTCCCTCCGCTTGGTGCCAAGGAACACACAATCTCCCACCTCCCTTTGGAAATACATTAAACCACCCTGCCGAGTTGGGCCAAAGGTACAGCTTTCTGAAATCAGGGGGGGTTGAACATCATTCATCAGCTCTTGAGAAACACTTTCATAACACTTTCCTCCACTGCGGATGCAATTCAGCCCCTAATCCTAGACACAGTCCCTGGGCATCCAGCTCCCTGCTCCGCAGGAGGTCTTGGTTGGACAGGCAGGTGGGATGGGGCCATCACAGCCAGCCTTCTGCAGAGCCAGCCCCAGGTCTGAGTCCCTGGCACGCTGTGGGTCGCCGCGCTACATCTGCCCCGCACCAGCAGCTGGGCTGCACGATTATACTAACTCAGGAAGGAAGTGACTCAAGGGTAAGCAGGGGTGGAAGAAACCAGCAGCACAGACACCTTCTTGTCAGCCACAGCTCGCAGCAACGAAACGGATGGGGACAACTAAGTGAGGGCACACGAGGACGAGCCATCATCACCTCATGAGTGCTCAGCGAAAGGCAGAGCTGTGCCCCACAGCACCCAGAGGACGAGGACCAGCAGTTTGCATTTCCTTGAGTTGTTTGCTTTGAAAGGAGGCTCCAGCGCCCTTCATGCACGGTTCTCCTCCACCCTCTCAGCACCACAGCAAACAGTCCAGCAGGGAACTTGTCTCCTGCACACCAACCTCCCAGCACCCCCGTTTTGGGGATGGGGCAAGGGGTGGGCCACCTCCACCCACAGTTCACCACAAGGGAGCTTCAGGGCTTGGTGATAGCTCAAAGCTGGTGTGTTGTCCCTCTGCCAGAGGTGAGCAGGCAAAGGGCACAATGGAGGAAGTATCCTTCACCTTCCCCAGGCCAAACCCTCCTAGAAGAGTTTGAAGGAAATGTAGAGCACAGTCATCTTACAGCAACAGCTGAAGATGGTTGTCAGCAGCCATCCCAGCATGTCCAGGGTAATCTCAGCCCCGCACTCCCACACCAGACCAGGAGGCTCCCAAAAAGGTTGAGCTGGGGCAAAGCATGTGGTGCTGTTGGACCTGGCCGGCAAAGCAGCTCTGTCCTGTCCCACAGGCTGCCAGAGCTTGCCCCAGTGGCCACCCATGGGTGGGAGAGCCATGGACAGGCAGCACAGCCACCCACAGTGCTCGCAGGACAGGAACCGTCCGGCATGAGTGTGCCAGTGGATTGTATCTGCCTGCAGCCAAACTGCCCACCATCTGCAGAGGCTGAGGCACCAGAGGAGCGCTGGGAAGCACTGCAGCAGCCGTCCGATGCCCACCGGGCCCTCAGCAACCAAACTCTGCTCTGACAAAGGCACAATGGGAACCAGTCTCCTGGTCACTCACTCTGTGTGAAGCAGGGCCTCGTGTCTTCAAGTCCAAATGCTGCTGTTTGGTTTTGTCTGGATTCAGTTTTGAACCAAACCTTGCTATTATGAACCAGAATGCCATGGTCCACCATGGTCACCACGCCTGAAGTACCTGCACTAAGCCTGATTTTCAAGCACCTCAAAAATGTTTCTGCCTGTGTAAATTAAATTTTGTTGCTCTTTGCCTCCACAAATCTAATTTCTAAAGCCCTCTAACTAGATTTCAGTGGGTACCTCAGGCTCCAGAATGACTTGGTCTGGCCAGCTGCACACCGTGGGCCAGGAGGGACTGTACTTCCCCGCTGCTTTATGGGATCTAATGAACTCCCCGACGCCCGGATGAATCACATCTTCTCTGCAAAGGACCAGGCTCCTGTGTGACAGACTTCCCAGCTCTCTCCTTAACCCATCCTGAAGCTTCCCTGTGCGGCAGGCTGCATCCCGCACCGAGGCCCTGGAATTCAGCCATCACCCCTGAAGCTGCAGGAGGTTTGTGGCCCCGCAGCAAAGCTCCTGGCACTGAGGGGAGCAGGGGCCACGACTGGTGTGAAGGTGGCGACCCCCCGGGAGGGACAGCCCGGGGCCGAGTCCCGGCGAC